TCTGCGCACGCTCTTCCAAATGTGGAGCAGTGCGCCGGAGTGCTTAAATTAGTCGTGAAGGTGGGAGCAGGACGGAGGCACGGAACGGAGGCCCCTGCTGCAGCACTGCAGCGGGCCCCTATGGCGGCTGGGTGCAGCGCTGCGCAGGCGGCCGCAGGGCCTGTGCAGCCCCCATTGCAAGCACGGCCGATCAGGCGCCACTGCGGCACCCTCACGCACACTGACGCACACTTGTTCGACCCGCATATTACCACATCCCTTTATTAACTACTCACCCCCCCCCCCCCCCTCTCCTGTGGGTGCTCGCCACCTGCTGTAAGGACGGGCTCTTGAGACACTCCTCCTGTTTATGGGATGTTGGGTCGGAATTCATGAAAGAATCGTTCCACATGTTGATCTCGTGCCGCCGACCACATTATTTTTATTTCATTTGTTTATTCCTTTTTGTCCGGCTTTTCGTTTCTCGTTGCTCGCTGGCTGCGGGGCCGAATCAAATTGCAGAGTTTGGGCGGCAGGTGGTCTGTGGCTGCTTCTGCTCGGCCATCGGATCGCGCGGCGGGCGCAGCGGCGGCGCAGCCCGGCCCGCCGGAGCCCGGCGGCCTTGACAAAATCATTCCTTTGTTTTTCTCTCGTCGGCCAGGCTCTCTCGACTTTTTGGTCGGACTGTTTCGCTCGCTCGCTGTTATACTGCACCGGAGGAAGGCATTTATACGCTTGTCGGCTGCACTCGTTTATTCCCCCTGGAGGAGCCGTCCTCTTTGACGCCGGGGTGGCTCTGCCGGCCGTCGGCGGGGGGTGTCCTGTGGCTCGTTATCTTATCTCTGGCGATGTCGCTAAGGACGTTGCCGCCGGCCGCTGGTGGGGAAGGTGTCCTCCTCCTCCTCCTCCTCCTCCTTGGCAGCCTCCACCGCAGTGTGGCGGCGTCATGGTTTCGGAAATGCTTGGCCGGTCGCGCAGACTCGCGCCGCGCGCGGCCTCTCGGTCAATGGCGCGAAGACCCCCTCCCCCCGCCCCCACCCGCCGGCTGGCCAGTGTGTACCGGGCTAAAAATGAGTCGGGGCGTGAGTGGCCACCGGGGATTCGAACCCTGCGCGACTATGAAGTATCCGGGCCTTGTGCGTGTTGCTGATGTAATGCGGCGGGTGCGAGAGAGAAAGAGAGGGTGATGGGCGGCGGCGTTCTTTCCTCACGGCAGCGGGAGAGAGGGAGAGAGAGAGGAGTGAGAGCGAGAGAGTGGCGGGGCGTGGCGGGGCGGCCAGACAGAGTTTGGCCGTGAGCGTCCCTGTGGCGGTGGGGGCAGCGGCGGGAGACCACCTCAAGACCAAGTGCAAGAACACAGGATGTGCCGCGCGCTCCTGCAAGGCTGGCCGCGCCCGGTGCACCTCGTGTCGGTGACTAGACTGCGACCCTCTGGCCGAGGTGCCTCTATGGCTCTCTGGTCCGTCCATGGCTTGGTCCTTTTACCGGGCTCGCTCTTTCTGTCCGTCCATTATGCGAACAAAAGCGCCAAACGCTGCTCCGTGTGTATGACGCAGCGCCACTGCCTCGCCTCGCCTCGCTTGTTTGTCTGCTCGCTTGCTCGCTCGGCTTGGGTTTGTCGACCGAAAAACCTCGGCGAGCTTTGAGCAGGCTCGGCAGCTGCGGCGGTGGCGGCGGCAGCTGCGGCTGGCTGTGGTTCGCGCGTGGGAACTTTTTGGAACAGCAGGCGAACGAGTCCTGGCGGCCGGCTGGCCCTGCCCTGCCCGGCTCGCTCATGGGCTCGCTGCTGGATCGTCGTCGCCAACCCCGGCAGCACTGGGCTCGCGCCTTCCCGGAACAGGTCCTAACTCACCGAGACAAAGGTCCGTCTGGCCAATCGGGCAGACGGGCGGACGGGCCCTGCTTGATTGGCGGGTTTCGCTGTCGTTTGACGGGTTGATGCGGTCCGGCCTTTTCGAAAGTGAGTCTGGGCCGTGGGCGGCGCCCCCGGCGGGGATCGAACCCGCCGCCGACGCTGTAGCCGCCGGCGCCCTCGCCGTCGTCTGGCCCCGAGTGGGTTAGAACGGAAGCACGACTTGCTGCGCTGGCATTCGCGGAACCGAGCTGTGCGACTGAATGCTCTGCTCAGTGGGCTGCTTATCGTGGTGGGGCGGGGCGGGGCGGGTCAACGCGTTCCATTGCAGGCGCCGAGCCCCTCCCACGTGGCGTGGCCACTGCCGCCCCTGGCAGCGTGGTCCATGATCGGTGGCGGCGCGTGGCGCTGCCGCACCAAGGACGCTTTTGTTGCGTGTGTCTAATCGTTGTCCCATCTTGTGTTGCAGGCTGCAAGATCAAGGCCCTGCGCGCCAAGACCAACACCTACATCAAGACCCCCGTCCGCGGCGAGGAGCCCGTCTTCGTCGTGACAGGGCGCAAGGAGGACGTCGCCAAGGCCAAGCGTGAGATCTTGTCCGCCGCAGAACATTTCTCTCAGATTCGCGCCTCGCGCAAGAACAACCTGTCCGGTCTTGGCGGGTCAGCAGGCTCCCTGTCGCCCCCAGGTCCCCCCTCGCACGTACCCGGCCAGGTGACTATCTCTGTGCGCGTGCCCTACCGCGTCGTGGGTCTGGTAGTGGGCCCCAAAGGAGCCACCATCAAGCGCATCCAGCACCAGACATCCACATACATCGTGACGCCGTCCAGGGACAAGGAGCCCGTCTTTGAGGTGACCGGACTGCCTGATTCCGTGGAAGCGGCGCGCCGACAGATCGAGGCTCACATCGCAGTGCGTACCGGTGCTTCGGGCTCCATGGGCACAGAACTCTTTGAGGACTCGACAGATATGCTGACGACCCTGTACTCCTCCCCAGGCTTGAACAACCTGTTCAACTCACTGGAGCCCAACAATCTGAACCTGAGCAGCCTCATCAATAGCGGCAGCTCAGATGGCGGTGTTCAGTCGTTCCCCAACCTGACTGGCTCGACCGGCAGCTCGGGACCCTTCTCGTCGGCCGGCTCTTGCTCTAGCTCGTCCTCGGGCTCGACAGGGGGCGGTGGCCGCCTGGGCGACCCCCGCGACTTGGTCAACATCTGGAACAGCGTGGAACGCGACGAGGGTCTTGGCGAGTCTCCCTCATTTGAGAGCGCTCTGCCTTCCTCGAACATCTGGTCGTTCCCCGTGTCCTCGGGGACCTCGGCCACCTCCCTGCCCTTGGGGACGGACATCGTGTCCCGACCCTCCCCGTCGCACTCGGCCTCCCCCACAGAGTCTCTGCACTCCCTGGGAAGCCTTGGCGGCATCCTCGGCCACGGCCGTAACACTCCAACCAAACGCGACTGCATGATGTGCGCAGACCGCGAGATAGTGGCGGCCCTGGTGCCCTGTGGCCACAACCTGTTCTGCATGGAGTGTGCCAACGGCGTGTGCGACTCTGCTGAGCCCACTTGCCCTCAGTGCCAGCAGAAAGTTGCTTCAGCCATCCGCATCCGCTCCTAAGCGCTTTCCTTGAATCTTTTTTATTATTTTTAATTATTTACGACGCAAAGAGTATTTAAATTTTTATTTCTGTTATAAAGACTGTTTGAATGTTTTAGTTTCTTTTTGTTTGCCGTACAGTGTGCACTAAGAAAATTTATTTCACCCGTTGACGTTGAAGCTGCCCATAACTGGTGCCACTTTCCAAACCCCAAAAGGAGCGGAGTGGAATATGTGCATTTTGAACAGAGATACTTAATATATTATCACATGTATTATGAGATATTTTAACGAGATTTAAGAATTTTGTATTTTGTGTAAGTGTGTATGTATGAGTATTTAACCAATATGAAAGAATACCTATAACAAAACATGTTGACTAGACTATCTCTACTACTGAGATTTTCTTTTATTTCTTGTAGATTTTTTTTGCGGGGTGAAGCCTGCATATTGTAAATTGTTTATGTATTTAATTACAAATTATCTAAAATATTTTAGTGTCAGCTCTTAGGCGGCCAGAGGATGAGGTACCGACTCTCCCGGCTGTGATTCTGAAAACTGCCAACGGCTGCGCACAGTGGTGCTGCCACAATTGTCAGACTGGCCACAGGGGGCGAACTCTAAAGACAAGACAAAAATATTCAAATAAGCTTGTGATTGGACTGTTTATTGTAGGTACCTATCTTAATTTGTCAATCCTAGCCACAGCGAATAGCAGTGGGGTGACGACCATTCCTTGTTGTCTGGATGTTTTAGAGTAATGAAAACATATCCATTTGTTGGTATCTGTTGTTTGTTTCTGTTTGTGTGTGATATATGCATATAAGTTATTGATAATAAGAGTTTTAATAAATTATTTCCCTAGTAATAACGCTGAGTAATAAACCGGAGGCGCGCAGCAGTTGACGCCACTCCCTTCCTGCTCTCTCGGGCACTAGTTCTTTGGGCAAGACACAATGGGCTAGGCTCTTAGTTTCGTGGTTTTTGTTGATCTGTTTTTGATTTTTTCGAGTTATGCTCAATTTTATTTTCTGTCCTCTCCAAATCAGAATTGTCCCTCGGTCCCCACAGTCAGAAGCCTGTGGGCCCTTTGATCGCCAGGAAAACTGTGTCTGATTAATGATTACGATAAGATATATTATTTTTTTACATTAAACGGAAACCCCTTTTCTCTGGTTCGACTAAGAGTTGAATGCCTCATTGATTTCAGTATTTGTTTCTTCTGTTCAACTTTATTGATGAATGTTCATATATTAGATTGTATTTTTTTCTATAGCCTCTGTAGTTGTAATTTACTGTAGACTATAGTCACAACCATAGTTGAAAGAAGTATTAAAAGTTCATTATTTAGTTTGTAAAATACTAAGAATTTTTCATTTTATTTTTTTACATTTTCAAAATAGCTCATTTTGTAAATATGTTCTAAGCTATTCATAAAAATTACGTACTTAACTCCATTCTTACTGTGTGGACATATACCACAAAGCTGAAACAAATGTATTAGAAATCCTTGCTATTTATATTTTCCATGGGAGCGCTCGTCATGAACATAATGAATGAAAGACTGTTTAATGTAAGTCGCACATTGGGGTGTGGCTTTATTTTGAAATTGATGTGACGAGCCCTGATTGACGCAAAGCCTGCCATATAGCCTTGCACAATTCAGATTTCCCTCTTTGTTTGGCATCAGCAAATTATTTGCGGCACTTATTAGTTTAATTCATGTTGCATCAAAATGAATGTTTAAAGCAATAGTCAGTCAGGCAACTGGCTGATATCTGTTACTGTACTTCTATCCCTTTTTTATCGTATAATGACAGCCCTCGGGGGTGTGTGAAACCGTTTCATTCTTCCTTGTCAAGTTTGCACAACTTAAAGAGTTCTAGTATAGTGTTTTCTATTTTATTATGATCCTATATA